TCCAACCAAACTGAGAGGGCCTGCTTAAAGTCCCACCTTCATAGCAGGGATGTGGATCAGAAGGAAGGCCTCTTCAGTAGTGGCCTCCACATAATGGGGGTATACCTTGCTGTTTTTCTCCTGACATTTCAAAGGGCACAAAGACGTTTGTTTCAGTGGGTCTTCAGCCATTTGTGAGGAATTGTGGGTGTTTGTCTAGTTTTTGTTTCTGTTTTTACAGTTTTTAATGTTGTATTATGATATTATAAAGATACGTAAATCATATGTATCATAAATTGTATTATGATCTTGTACATGGCCTTTTAGATTGGACTGGTATAAAGATAAGGTAAAATAAAATAAGACAAGATAAAATATTTAGTGTCACCTGCTTAGAGAAACAACAAATCCCCCACTTTTTATTATGGCATTGACACTTATTGATGGCCAAATTAACCTTGGCCCCTCCTGAATTAATGAACCCCTGCACTGAGAGTTCCTGGTCCCATACTTGCCATTGTTGAGCCCTGAAGCTTCTGCTGTGCAATTAACAAGCAGAGAGCTTCACCGATAAAGCAAACAGATTTTCTGGATTTTCCATTGGCTTTGAAGCCTTCTAAGGGAAGTTGTTTGACACATACACACCAAAAAAATCTCATTTAGGTTTCAATTGTCTTGTCGTTTTTTTGCTGGCTGTGCAATAATTTTAAAAATATCTTTTACTTCCATTGGTAGGATGAAGGTGCAAAGCATTAAATTGACAGTGGTTGTAAAATATAAACAATTCTAAATAAGTGAGCATTTCATATTTAGGTTTACACGTCTCTTAAATTTTTTAAGCTACTCCATAAATAATATATTATGGCCTAAGTATATGAATGTGGCAAGTATGCATTGTTGACATACTCTGGCAATTTAAAGCTATATCGCCAGATAAAATATCATCACAAAGGATATTCATTAGCTACTCTAAAACTAGAACTACTCTAAACTCGTTGAGCTTCATACATAGTGAGCTTGCCTGTGTGTTAGATTATTATCTTTCTGAGTTGTGTGGGTATTACACTATATCAAGGTGGGTGATCTGTACCTACAAGAACTCCACTTAACCCCATCTTGCAACCTTCAAAGTATCCCTGATTTGTGCTGCTGAAATTTAAGAGCAAAAATGCTCAGGTTTGGTGGCACAGTTTTTCCTGTGTTTTGCTAAAATAAAATGCAAATGGGTGGATTAATTTCCCATTTAGTCCCTAAATCTTCCATCAGATGGGTTGCACATTTCAGCCCATCATCCAGTGAGGCCACTACACCTTTGCCTATGTTGCCTATAGCACTTGGAGCCTGATTTTAATAAGCATGACCCCAGCTGCAGAAAGTTTGCTTGCCCCACTTTTCAGATTCAGTTAGTAATGTAACTTTGGGGTTTAGTGACGTAATTTTTGTTCTATATTTTAATTAGTGTTAGCCTGCTCTAAATATTTAACTGGGATATAAATCAGCCAAACAAATAAGTTTATACATCTGTATTGACTTTTAGTAATGCTTATGCTGGGTTCAGTTTGGTTAAAAAGCAGCATATCTTTATATAAAACAATGTGAATTTGACACATGATACTGTGTCTTAACTTAATTCTTCCTCCCCTTTTTTTGATACTTTTTCATTTGTGGATGGTATAGATATATAAAAATATATTATTTCGATAAAATATATAAATATATATTTAAAATATATTATTTAAGTAATAATATTATTATTATTGTTAGTATAACTTATTAGGCTTGTTCATACATAATGTTAATCCATAGTTAATGTTACCAAAACAAATCTAGACAAGCTTTATACTTGCATGCTCTCCCCACCTTCTTCAGCATAGCAACAAACAAACAAACAATCATAGCCTTTATTTTATATTTTATATTAATTGTAGCTTGCTGTGTTGTCTGACCTTGGAGGGACAATATAACTCTTAACTTGGATTAATGGAAATAAGCCAATTTCATTTAAGACTTTATGAGTTTGTTTTATTTTGATTAAGCATAATTACAATCAACCATAGTTTACAGTTTGGACAACAAGCTAAACTAGAGATAATTTAAAACAAAGCAAACTTCATAATTCCTTGAACAAGCCACACGGGAAGTGCATTCATCAATTAAAAGAAAATGGGGAGAGGTTCAAAACTGATATGAATCTGATTTTTTTTTTTACATGACACAGTTAAACTGGTATTTGCTAACCTCAGGCATGATAACCTCACCAATTTAGACAATTTTAAAAGAGAATTGGACAAATTCATGGAGGATCAGATTATCAGTGGCTACTAGGCTTAATGACTATAATTTCAGAATCATAGGCAGCAAGCCTGGAAAACCAGCTGCTGGGAAAACCATGGAAGAGGATTATAACTTTTCTGTATCTCCTTGTAAGTTTCTCAGATACATCTGGTTGACCACTATGGGACACAGAATGCTGGACTAGACATGCTTTTGGCCTGATCCACAAAGCCCTTCTTATATTTTTAGGAATGGCAATTAGCCCCAGCTGTTAAGAGCACGTTTGCCATCATCATCAGATATATTCACCAGTACCCACTGACAGTGGGAAGCCCCTGGGGCCTTTTCAGACTTGGAGCTGGCTCGAGTGCCAGGGTGAGAGCATACATGTATCCTTCCTACACTGTGAAAACTCAAGTGTTGTACTAGCATAGTTGCAGCAGATACAGACCCACTCAGCTGCTGATGCAAATAAAGAAAATGTTCCTTCTCTTTAATATACAGGATGATTTGCAATGGAAGCAGCAAATAGCTAAAAATGGCTAGAAGCCTGTATGTGTTGCTTGGTAGCTGTATAGTTATTTTTCATCTTTTCTCTTTTAATATTCTGTTTGCAGGAATGGTGAACAGAGCATCTAAAATAACCACTTTCACATTGCAACAAACACATCATCATTTGCTTAAAAAGAGTTATAATTACAGTTGACGAAGCATGGCCACCATAAAAATGCATTAGTTTAGCTTGACACATTAATTACCTGTTTTTGCAGATGTTTTTATATATTGTTGTGCGAACAGATTACAAAATAATTACAGGAAAGTCATATGGAAAACAAGCTAAGGGGGTGGTTTCTCGCCTAAATATTTTCATTCATGTGAATTTGTGCGAGGCACAGCTGCTGTATAGCAAATGGGGAGAGAGAGGGAAAGAGGAGGAATCTCAAAGGGTTTTTATTTGAAGGTCTCTGTCATCAGCATTATCACACTTTTTATATCTTTCTTCAGAGGAGGATCTTTTTTAAAAAAAATAAATCAACATTGCCTTATTTATAAAAGTCTGATTCAGGTAAAAATCCTTTGATCTTCATCAAGTGAAACACAAATATCTGCTAGTATCAAGGAAGACATTTAAATAGAAAATGAATATTTTGTTTGAAGAAAGATGATCTTGCCTGATTGTGCTATAAAGACTAATTAAAAGCTTTAACAAACCTAACACTTATATTCCTGATGTGTTTTTTAATGTCTAAAAGAATCTCAAAGCATAAAAATCTTAAGGATCATTCAGAAGTAGTGTGACTTCATACTCTATTGAAAATCTCATGGTACATGAAGGCGATGTGAACTTGAATATTTGAAAATCATTAATTAAATTTGGCATTTAATGTCTTTTTAGCAATACAATTAGAGGTATTTCTTTACCAGGAATGTGAATTATTACAGGGTCAAAAGTTCAATACAAAAATACTGAAAATAGCAAATTAAAAAATATTTACATTGTGAGGTATTAAGTGATTAATTATATATAACATTCATTACATGTAATAGATGGTAAAATGAAAATCTAAAATTTGGCAAATCTTGAAAATTCAGACAATTCTAAGTCCTATGAGTGAGTATTTGAGAAAAGTAGAAAAGAGGAACAAGAGGGGATAGAAATTCACTAATTTAATTTGGTACTGTCATAAAATATTGTACATATGTAGGCAATCACTAGAGTTTGTAATGTATTTTTGTGTCTTTCTGTGTACGAATATCTGTAAGAGTTTTATGATAAAAAAGGAAGCCTTAGGAATCAGCAAGGTTTAAGGCACCCATTTTGCCCCTTAACACCTCATAAAACCCTAGAAAATGTAAAGGTACTTTTTATTAGCCATATCTATGTGGGGGAAGAGGGTGCTTACCCAGGCGCTACATTTTTTGCAGCTATGTTCTTGTATGGGAGTGTGTGTTTGCTGAGATTGTTTTTACATATTACAGGCAAGATCTTATGGAAACACTGGGAAACATTTCTCATTTATCTCATGGGGATATGTTTGTACTAACATTGAGAGAGACAGAGAGAGAAAATAAATTGCGATAGCTGGAGGCAAGCTGGTAAGGTGGGAAGAGGAAGTGGAGAGACAGGGTCTAGGATTGGAAGGGCTACACATTGCAGTGGGCTATGTTAGGGAATCTGTGGGACAACTATATGGAAAAAAGAAGTGAAAGCTAGGATAAATAGATCTTGCATAATTGGAATGGGCAGGGTGAAAGAGTTTCAGTTTCCTTTTTGAGAAATAGGATTCTATTGCAGAAAAAAGTGGGTTTAGTAGCATGATTTTGTGTTTTTGGCATTCAGACTGTTCTTCCATAAATTCCTCACTTGGGCAAGTTAGTTCTATTTTATCCACAGCAGTTTGCCTTTTTAAAAAGTTGTTTCTCTAGGCTTAGAAAATAAAAGATTCAAAACATGTTTTGTGTTCTGAGGCTTCAACCTAATTCCATCTTGTATTGTCCTTTAGCCTCACCAGTTTGCTTTTCTGCACATGGATGTTTAGGGACGTAGCACCTTACTACAGTAGCCATTTTTTTTATGAACATCCTGTGGCAGCCATTTGGTGATAGGAGCAACAATGCATTAAAATTCCTACTGTGACCACCTTTCCAGAAAGAGATTCGTGTCCTGAGCTTTCCCAGACCACAACTGAAAAAGAAATTGTTGCAGAGGTTTCAGGCTTATAAATATATTCTGTTATGGTATGCAGGAGAATCAAGTCCAACCCGTCGTGAAGCAGTGAAGAGGAAGACTTCAGAATATCTGATGAGAGCAGAAAGAATTTCCAGCCTTTGCTGTAGACCCTCATCAGAAGACGGCTCAATATTTGGCGTAGGTTCTTTTTATTTCTAAGATAATTTAATTTTCCTGTGTGGTTCGTGGATGCATATGGACATGTGTGTGTCTCCTTCGCAACCGATTGCACTTCTTTATGACTAGCAGTATCAGAAAATAGATTATGCCAGTTAAGTGAATACGTACATATATGGAATAAAGTCCTGAAATCGTAGTGAAGGAACATAGCCCATCATCTTCCAGTCCTATTTGGTTCTTCAGAAATGTTACATATTTATCCATCTTCAGTTAAGAAAGAATACCACAGCCAAGATCAGCATTAGCATCATTATATGTAGCTAAGGAAAACAGTTTTTAGTTTATTTCCTTGGTAGTGAGATAAGAACCAGAAAATTGCTAGAGATAAGAACTAGAAAATTTCTGTAACCAGGAACTCAGATGGTTCTGAGAGAATATGGGTGTAATCCTTAGATCTTATTTGTGAGGATCAGACAATCTCTTATCTTGAGTACAGATTGTGTGTGTATTAAACAATTAAGGACAGGGGATTGTCTCAGATTGGGATCCTGGTGTGGTAAGTAAGAAGTGTTAATTCTGCTCTTGCTGCAGTCCAATCTGGATTGTGCCCTGTGTTCCTGAAATTAACATTGCCAAGCAAACAATTCACTGACACCAATGAGGCCTGATTAAACTACAGTGGTGGGAGGAGAAGAAGAGGAAGGGTCAGAACAATGCTTTGGTCCTGATCAGATTGAGCTTCCCATGGAGTCAGTTTGTCAAGACAAAAAATGCTGCATTCAGGATACAAACTATACAGAAACACATAATTTGAGATAAAGTGAAATGATAGCAAGGTCTGATTTGGAGGAAAACCAGACTGGGAAGGTTGAAGAAGAGAGGGCATTCATTAGGGATGTGATAAAGAATGTCTTGATGATCATCTCTGAATACTGAAACTGACTCATGCTATCACTTTTTACATGGAGGTGTTTTTTTTAAAGCAGATAACATTAATAAGGCATTTGTAGCATTGGAGTTGCTGTACTTGTTCTTGAACTCCAGACCAGAGAACTTGTGACAAATCATGGTTTTACTCTACCTCAGTAACAGCAACAAAATAATAAAATAAACCTCCCTAGGACCCTTTTGTTCCTCTTCTGGGCATCTTTTCTGGAGTCCCACACAACTCTTGTGTGATTGTTGATGATTGCTCTCATGTAGAAATGTTAAAATTTCAGATTCCCATTTGGATCACAAAATGGCCACCAAGTCTTTCATCTTATTTAAATGATCCTGATAATAGTTCAAGGCAGCTCTTCAGTGGGGATAGGGGAATGATGTAGGGTGAGCGTGCAGAGGAATAATCTGTTGAACGGAATAGCAATTACTCTGCTTTTTGAGCCTGTTTTCATAGAAAAAAAACTGGATGAAATTTCTTCTGCAGTAGAAGTCTTCATGTAAGCTTTGAAGGATTCCTCAGTTTGCCTCCCCCCCTCCCGGACTGCTTAATTTTAACTTAATTTGTAGATATGCATGTGTGTGAAGGGGGACCCAGCCATAGCAGAAACTGAAGTTAAAATTCCCTTAGGGTTCTTTCCAGCCTTATAATACTGATCTGCTTAATGAAAGACAAATTTCCCTACATGACAGTGAATTCTATATGCAAATTTGCATAATTATCAGAGGTAATCTGTCTATTTTGTCACAAGTATGTGTGACTTGAAGGAGACGCCACCTATCTAGTTGTACAGAATTGTGTAGCAAAAGGATCTAGGATGTAAAAGGATGGGCACGGGAGGTCTAGGCTCAAGTAATAGTTTAGCTGTAGAATCTGAGCTTCAGCCTTGCTTTTCCAAAATCCAGTGAATTTTTAGCTTCATGGTTTCCCAGTACCACTTGTTACATGCTGTGGGATAAATTTCACTAGGTGCATGCTGGAATAAAATGGAAAAGGAACATATTTGAAATTTACCACAAGCAACCTGCAGCAAACTTTGGGCACTCTTGTTCCCAGCACATATGCTCTTTTTGGAGATCCAGCCAAAGTGGAACAAGTTTCTTGCAGTGCCTTTCAGTGTTTATCAGGTGAAAAGGTTAGGAAAAAAGAAAGCGTTTTCTGCCTTTTGAAACTTTGTCTCAGATTACTGCTCTATAACAGGGTGGAATAGGGGAACATTTTCTGGAAAGTGGAGAAGTAACATTTTTTCTTCTAATTATTTCTGAAATTCCACCTGGATAATAAAAGTTGTTACAGGCTAAAGCTTCTCAATTATTAATGTTGGTTGCACAGTCAGCTACATGTTTAGACTGGATTTGGCATTTTTATCCATCTATTGAGTCCTTCCCAAGGACCTGAGATAGACAGATGTTGTTCGATGGTGTGAAAGGTATTGTCGCAGGATGTAAGCTGTTCCAAGTAAAACTGCCTTTGCAATTGTCTGTTGGTAATTTTGTCAGTGCTGATGGTCTTCAAGTGGTACTCCAGATGTTTTGGGATTGTGCCCAAAGCGCCTATTACTATTGGTACTATCTTTGCTTTCTTTT